CGAGCGGGACAGACGCGCGCGTGCGCGAGGCGTGGCGGGGCTTGGAGGGCCAGACACTGCCAAGGGAGGTCGCCACTAGGGGGGGTCACCGACATGCTCAGGAGACGGACGCACCTGGGCCCCTCCGCCACACACCCCAGGACTGGCCAAGACGACCAAAAACTTTCAAGTCCTCCTCGATCCTCGGTCCTCCCTCTTCCTCGATCCACGAAGTTCAGGAGGAGGGTCCTCGATATCGACGAGGAGCACCCCAGCCCCTACTTTGTCAATGCCCCGAGGGGGAGGGGGGTAGCTTTAACGACAGGGGGGTACTGGCTCAGTCGGGGAATCCGTCGACCTGAAATCGGCGATACATCGCCGATAGATCGGCGGTAGGTCCCGATAGCGAATCCGCACGTTCCTGGGCGGGGTGGGCGATCAGGCCCCCGTCGGTCGATGCGTTCCCCCTCAGCCTGTCCCCCCCCCCCAACGTTGCCCATGATCTTCGACTCCGACCTTGATCCTCGACCTCTGGCTGTCGGGTCATCATTACTTGAGGACTCCGGCGGCCGTCCGGGACGATCCGGGCACCCACGGAACGCTCTCGGCGAGGCGCAGCCGCTAGAAGGCATCCCGAGGCTGGAAAACTGCCCAGAACGCTTGAAATCGCAAACACAAACATTATCCGGGCGAAGGATCCAGCCATGTGCAGCTTTGTGTAACGCAGTTGTGGGTATCGTCTTCGGTGAACTCTCTCTGGGGCCACGACGCGTGTGACGGGTGCGCCGAAATTGCCTCGGGTACGCCATGCGGACGCTGCCACTGGAGCCGCCGGTGCAGCCCCATGTGAGGCCACGAAACGCGTGGTGCGCCGAAATGAAAGGCGAAACCACGTGTGGGTGCTGCCGCCCCTGGGGCCTTCGGCGGAGCACCCTATGGGGCCACGAAACGTGTGAGGGTGCGCCGACATGGGGGTGGAACTGCATACGGACCTTGCCACGGGGGCCTTGGGTGGAGCACCCTATGGGGCCACGAAACGTGTGATGGGTGTGCCAAAACGGGAACGGAACCGCATGCGGACCCTGCCACTGGGGCCTTTGGTGAAGCTCCCTGTGGGGCCACGAAGGAGGAGAGAGGGAAGGAGGAATGAAGGAGGGAGGGAAGGAGGCAGGGAGGGAACGCGGGGACCGTCTCTTCAAATTGTGGACCCAACACCACAGGTGGGAAACAAAACGAGCCTCGAAGCTTCGATTCCTCCTGAGCCTACAGTCGGGGACTTTTTGATAGCGTGTCGCTACGGCGGCCCTGGCGACACGCTATGCCTTGCGAGTGGATAGCGTGTCGTTCTATTCCGCAGGACAGGGAGCTCGGAAAAGCTCGGCGCGTGGACGCCTCAGGACCGCGAAGTGGGTAGCATGTCTAACCGAGGCGCGGTGGGCCAGAACCGGCGGAGCGACACGCTAAGCCAACGGCTCCCCGACCGGATCCCCTCCTGACGTTGCCCCCGAGAGGGGGCGGAAGGGCGGGGCCCGCCCGACGGGCGCCGCCTGGGTCACGGGACGTCAACCTGCTCCACTGAGGGGGCCGCCCACTCACTCACGCACCCGAACGTCCAAAGAGGTCCAAACCCTCCTCGGCCCTCGTCCTCCTTCCTCGCGATGCTTGCTTTCCGGGAAGAGTCGGCGACCCCCCCTGGTGCCCTTCCGCCCCCGTGGCACTACCCCGAGAGGGTAGAATCGGTCAGCATCGAACCAGTGCATCGGTCCGATTTCCGACCTGTGCGTCGGATCGGGCTGCATCGGCACGCAGTCGACATCGAATCGGATCGGCTGCGCCAGGATGCATAACGGCGCCCACACGAGCATCGGACCGCATCGCATCGCCGCAAGTCGGGATCGGATCGGATCGAGCCAGCCAGAACCGATCTCGGCTCGGCTCGATCGGATCGAAATTGACCCTGCGAGGGGGCGGAGGGTGCGAGGCGGGGATGTATCCAAATCTACTGCCCGGGGACCGACGTCCTGGGGACCCAGCGGGCGGTGGACGTGGATATATTTAGGCCCCCGGGGGCCAACATATATCCACATCCACCGCCTGTGAAGGTCCGCGGAAATCGTTCCTCCAGGCGGTGGTCATACATAAATCCTGGCCTCGAAGATGGGCATAAGCCGGCCGACGGGCGCCGCACGGGTCACGGGATGTCGTCTGAGTCCACCGAGGGGGCCGCCCGCTTCCCGCGCACCCGTGGCCTCTTCTGAGAGGGCGACGAGCGGCGGGAGGGCGAGGACGCGGAGCCGGAGGTGGACCTGCCAGGGAGGGGCAAGGGGGGAGGTGCCTCCTCCTCCTCCTCCGCCTCCTCCTCCTCCTCGTCATCCTCCGCCTTCCTCCTCCTTCGCCCTCCTCCTCCTCCTCCTCCTCCTCCTCCACCTTCTCCTCCTCCCCCTCCTCCATCCTCATCGTCGTCCTCCTCGTCGTCTTCCTCGTCGTCCTCATCCTCCGCCTCTGGTTCCACCTCACGCTTCTCTTCTTCCTCCTCCTCCTCCTCCTCCTCCTCCTCCTCCTCCTCTTCCTCCTCCTCCTCCTCCTCCTCCTCCTGATCCTGCTCCTCCTTCCTCCTTCTCCCCTTTTGGATTCCATTTCACGATAAGTGCGCAGAGGCTTTCGAAGGTCTGCGCGGATTACTTGGATCGGCGCTGGACCCCTCCTTGGCGCGCAGAGCGCGCCAGGGGCGGCGCCGAAGCCCCGCCAAGGAGGGTCCAGCGCGGATCCGCGAAACGCGCGCAGACCTCAGACAATGCATGTTCATTCAATGTTCTCGTCTTCGATCCCAGTCTCCCTGATCCTTGTCTCCCTCCTCCCTCCTCTCTTTCCCCCACTCACCTGCCTATGCCATCGTTGCGCGCGCGCCCACTCATCATTCCTTAGAATCCGGTACCACGATAAAACACCAACTTTGAACATCAAACACAGAGCCCTGGACCCCATAATTCTGCGGCATCTCCACACCCAGAAAGACCCGCGAGAGCACCCCAGGGCCCGAAACTGGGCGAAAACGCCGCGAGCGAAAACAAATGTAAGGCCAGGATCTCAGGAGTAATCCTCCTCCTCCCACTCCTCCTCCTCCTCCTCCTCCTCCTCCTCCTCCTCCTCCCCCTCCTTCCTCCCCCCTCCTCCCCCTCCCCTCCTCCTCCTCCTCCTCCTCCTCCTCCTCCTCCTCCTCCTCCTCCTCCTCCTCCTCATACCCCTCCGCCTCCCTTCGGAGCCTCCCACATGGGGTCCGAATAGTGGGGGTCAAAGGATCGCGCCGCATCGCCGATCCATCGGTGACGCTTCGGCGACATCGGTGATGCAGTGGCGACGTCGATGAGGACAAAATCGGGCTCCACCTCGATCCGTATCGCCGATGCATCGGCGATGCAGCGTGATCCTCTGACCATCTGGGAGGCCAATTTTCCAGACATGCGATGTCCTGCTTGTATTAATACGGAGTCTCCGGAAGTCTCGACCCTTTCCCCGGCTGATGTTTCATTCCCATTCATTTTTTACCGTCCCGGGGGCCACCGAGGACCCCTGGGGCCGAAAACGGCAACAACAACCCTCGTCGTGCTTTGCTCACGAGGCGAGCATGTCTGGGTACCTTTTTCTCCTCCTCCTCCTCCTCCTCCTCCCCTCCTCCTCCTCCTCCTCCTCCTGCCTCCTCCTCCTCCTCCCCCTCCCCCCTCCCCCCTCCTCCTCCTCCTCCTCTCCTCCTCCTCCATCCTCCTCCTCCTCCTCCTCCTCCTCCTCCTCCTCCTCCTCCCCCTCTCGGCGGCGAGCCCAGGGGGGAACGCCAAGGGGGCGCGGGCCTTCCCAGAAGGCTCGGAAGGCATCGGGCCTTCTGAAACGTTGTCTTAGCCTCCCTCCGAAGACAGGGATGTCTTCTCAGAATGCCAGAGGGCTTCCGAGAAGCCCCGCCGGCCTTCTGAGGAGACCCACCCCCGCCTCCCTCCCCCGTGAAGATCCCCCAGCTTCCGGGGCGGCCTCTTGTGGCGCTCCCTGCCCTTCGCGGCTCTCCTCGGCGGCCGCTCCTGCGCGGAGGTGCTCACGCCCTTGCGGCTCTGATGGTGGGCGGTGGGCGGGTCGCCGTCGGGGGGAGGCGCGGGCCCCGCCCCGCCTCCGAGGAGGGGCGGGGCGAGGACGGAGGACCAGGATGATGTAAGATAAGATGCAGTCGGACTTGATTGGACAGGACACGCGAGAGGACAGAAGATCCCTCCGAGGGCCACATTGCCATAATCATGTAGGGGGCATGAGTCGCGAGGCACAGGACACGAGGGTACCCTTGTTTTGGCAAGGCCGACCGACTAACCAGGGCCGACTATAAGAAACGCGCGCGATCCACTGGTCGTTGCTACCGCATGTGCAGCAAAAAATCGGCGGCGCGCCCGGGGGGGAGGGAAAAGGAGAATGCCTTCTCAGAAGGCTCGGGAATCCCTGGGCCTCCTGAGAAGGTTCCGAAGCCTTTCCCCGAAGACGCAGGAAACTTATCAGAGGGCGCGATGGTTTGTTTCTGAGAAGTTCGCCGCCGTCTGAAAAAGGTTTCCTCCTCCTCACTTTCCCCCCCGCTCGCCGCCGAAAAAATAGGGACGAAGGGCCCACGTGGATGATGCCGACACCACGGCAAACCCACGGCAAACCCTGCGTCCCGCGACCCAGGTGGACGAAGCCGGTGCCGCGGCAAACCCATGGAAAATCCTGCGTCCGAGGCGGAACTTGCCCTGGTGGCCGCGGCGCCCTCTCAAAGACGAAAGGCCGCGCGTCGGAACAGACGGCGCGGGAACATGTGCAACACAAGGAGGGCGAGGGGGAGGAGGAGAGGGACAGCCGTCGTGCTCTGCCACGAAGAAGGACCGGTGAGCCAGGCGCGGAAGGGCCTTTTTCTGGCCACGGCGGGCCTCGGCCACGAGCGGGGCCCCTAGCCTATAGGTCTGGGAAGCGGCCCGGAGAGCGAAGCCGCCCAGGAGCCCACGAGGGGTCCTCGTCTCAGCGTCTCGACTGCAGGCATAGGAGAGGAGAGGGATGATGAAGGAGAGGAGGAGGAGGAGGAGGAGGAGGAGGAGGAGGAGGAGGAGGAGGAGGAGGAGGAGGAGGAGGTGCCATCGGGCGCGGCGCCAAGCGTGCAGGCACAGCTAGGCGGTTCGGGCGCAAGCCCGACCGAGAGATAAAAGGGCCCGAGCACCTCCCCAAAGGGGAGCGCCAGCAGGCGCAGCCAGGGGCCTACAACCCGTCCGCAGCCTCGCCCACGACTACCAGGTTACCGACCAGACTGTCGAGGACGAAGTCCGCGAACGGCCGAGGCCAAACCTGGCCGCTGGCCATGGGCAGAGGAAGACCAGTGCGCGGCGCGGGTGTTTGCCCTCCCACATGCGACCCAGGCGGGGCCGCGTCTGTGGGGGCACAATCCCGAGGCAAGGCTGCGCGAGGAGCTGAGCGTTCTCGCTCGAGTGCGCTCCGCACCTCGCGCAGAAAAGGAAAGGGCCCACGCGCCATGCGCGGTGGCAACCTCCCGGGCTGCACGCCGCAGGCGTGTAGCCATCGCGCGCCCTGGCGACGCGGTAACAGCGGCAGCAGCGGAAGCCCTTGCCGCGGCACAGGCTCGTGCACGCCAGCGGGCAGCACCGCGTCCGCCGTCAGCGCGGGGGCTGTCCCCCCGCGCCGAGCACGTCGCAGGTGGCTGTGCCGCGGCGCGTCATGCTGGCTGGGGTCCGCTGAGCGCAGCACCCGAGCCAAAAACTTGGCGACAAGCGTCACCAGGTGAAAAGTGCGCTTGGCCCGCTCCACCGCAGCACTGTCCGTGGGGTGGAGGGCAGCACCTTGTCGGGCGTCGAGGTGGTTCCCCCAGCGCTTGATCAGGCCACGCTCGACGGCGCTGTCGTGGCAGCGTCGAGCGCGGCCTTTGACCTCCACAACCGTGACGTCACCACCTAGGTCGTCCACGCGATCCCAGATACGCGCCCAGAGGTCGACTGCCTCGCACTGGGCACCAGTGGTCTCGGCGCGCCCGCGCTCGACGCTGGAAACCACCAGGCGCAGTCCGAGTGGAAGCAGTGGGGCCCCAAGGCCACGTGCGTCAGATGCATGAGGAGAGCGAAGGCCTCCGCGAGATCTGACGCCGGGCGCAGCCCTGGAAGCGGGCCGCAAAGGGAGGCGGTCGAGCATCTTTGCCCGTCCACCTGGACAACCGACCATGCCCGCTCTATTGAGTCGGGGGTCCCCCTGTACTGACGAGGCACATGAGCCGTCACCGAAGGCCTCGCCTTCGATGCAACCAGAGCCAGGCCACTTGAGCCACTGGGCGAGGAGGGAGGGCGCAGGGCGAGGGGCAGAGGGGCGAGGGTCGGGGACCATGGCGTGCCTCCAGGGGGCCCAAGTCGAGTGCACCCCGTGGCCCCGCCTCAAGGGAGGGGGGAGGTCATGCTCACGGACGAAGGCCCACATCGCGGAGCACTGGCCAGTCACCCAAGCCTCAAAGGTCCCCGGGCAGGATTAACCCTGGCAAGCAAACAGTAACCCCCCCGGCGATATCGCTAGCACAGAAAATAAAATAAATAATTATTTTGGGCGGCGCCCTCCGGCGATATCGTTAGCACATAAAAAATAAAATAAAACAATTAATTAATTAATTTGCCCCCCCGGGCCCGAAGCTGGCGGCAACGCGAGGCGACAGCCTGAAGAACCAACGCGCACGAACGCTTGCCAATGGGTTCCCGCCTTGCTAGAACACTGGGAAACTGACGCGCATCGGAAATCAAAGGTAAATCATAAATGACAAACAATGAAATCACCGCAAGCAACTATACTTGAAAGGGCCACCCAAAGGAATCCCAGAGAAATCTCAGAAGGAAGCCCACGCAGAATCTCAAAGGACCCCTATTGGAAATTCAAAATAATTTCAAAAAGGAACCCCACAGAAATCGCAAAGGGATCTCAGCGGCAGCTCAAACGAACCACGAAGGAATCTAAGGAATCTGGAAAACGCGGGCTCGCGTGGACATAAGCAAACCCTATTGCGGCCGCAAAAAGGAAATTGTTTGTTTCACGGGGTCCTATGGGGGAGTCCACGGAGGGATATCGCAGACGGATTCCGCGAACCCCCCCGCGATATGTTAGCGCATTTATTGAAAATAAAATAATCCACAGGCGCCGGAGGTCGATGGGATGCTCCTTTCAGGGATTGTCGAAGGAATGTCAGAGGAACTCGAAAGAACCCCCAAAGGAATCCCATCATAATATCACAAGAAATCCCACGCACGATATCGAAGGAACCAATGGAAGTTCAAAGCAATCTCAAAGGAGCCCAACAGAAATCGCAAAGGCATCTCAGCGGCAGCTCAAACGAACCACAAAGGAATCTAAGGAATTTGGAAAACGCGGGCTCGCGTGGACATAATAAGCAATCCCTATTGCGACCGCACTAGGGAAATTGATTCTTTCAGGGGATCCTATGGGAGAGTCCACGGAAGGATATCGCAGGCGGATTCCGCGAACCCCCCCGCGATATGTTAGCACATGCGCTGAAAATAAAATAATCCACCGCCCCGGAGGTCGATGTGATGCTCTCTTAAACAATGGGGTATCAAACGGATATGACCGGAACCTCAAGGGACCCCCAGAATAACATCAGAGGAACGTAAGAGTCTCAAAGGAGTCCCAACATTATCACAATGGAAACGGCAAGGAATCTCAAAAGAAGCCAATCGGAGTATCAGAGGAATCTCTGACGAATCTCACAGAAACGCACATAATCACAGGAAGCGACTCTGGGCAGGTGTGCCTTGTCGCTGGGCACTGGACTACAAGGGGACCGGGCATTCAGATGCTTGTGGAGGCCTTTCTGGATGCCTCCTGGGAACCTCTGGGGACCTCCCCTCCGCGGACCTCTGGCGACCTGCGGGGGGTGTCGCTTCCGCCCCGGCCCCGGTGTCGGAAGCGTTATAATTTCCTCTGATGGGGGGGGGGGGGGTACTGATTGCTTCCCAAGGTTAGATGCAACAAAATGGGCACGCGCGGCTGCGCGTGAGGCCGTGGCGGACTTTGCGGGCCTGGTCCCACGCGCCATTCGAGACAATCGCACGGAGAGTCGCCCGGTGTCGAACCGCCCACTCGGGGCCCGTCCGACCGACGCAGAGGCGACAGAAAAAGGGGCAAGGTAGGGGCGGGCAGGGAGGCCAGACATGTACTCGGGACTCTGCTGGGCTCGGCCCAGCAGCCAATCCCCCGTGCTCAGGCGCGCGAGGTGCAGCGCAGAACTCGGGCAGACCGCGGCGAGATCAACCTTGAGGCCCTCGCTGGTATCTAACGCGCAGGCCCCGGGTCCAGCTTCCAGCCGATGCGCCTACAACTGGCCAGGGCCGCCGAAATCGGGCCGCGGACGAGGGCCCACTCATTCTTCACACCTGCGGGCCGGGCCAGGGCGGCCTCGGAGGCAAATAAAACTCGGGCTATCCACTCTCGAGGCAGCCACGACTCCCAGACAGCCTGAGCGAGCAGGTGGATCGGACCCACCGTGCAGGCGCACGCAAGGTCGACCGACCTAGGCGCCGAGGGAGCGAGGTGGAGGTCGAGAGCGAGGGAGCGACGAGCGGTCAGAACGAAGAGGGCGGCATGCACAGCTCGGCGCATTGGCTCGATCCCACTCCACGCTCCCCCCGTAACACCGCCCCCCCAGGTACCAACAGGCGCGAGGCCGAGAGAGACGAGCTGCTGCGTGCTGCCTCTAGCGGCACGCAGCACGCGGACGCGTGCCGAACGCATGATCACGGTGGCCGCGCGCTTGCTCCGCGTGGCCGCGCCAGGCCGCCGCCCGCAGCCGCAGTCCACCCCCGGGCTCCTCGCCGACTTGCGGCCCCTGCCGCGGGGCGCCGCGCAGGGCCTCTGGACCTCGCGGCTGCGCTCGGCGGAGTTGGCCAGGGCCGCGCCCTTGCCATCGTTCACGACGAGGCCGTCCGCCAGGGGTCCCTTGCGGAGCAGCTCGTAGGCGCCGCTGACCTGCGCGACCACGCGCCTTGCCATGCCCGTCTGGGCCAGC